GGTGTTATCTGAGCCTTCTGGGCTGACCTGAAAGACAGACAGATCATTGGTCCTTCTTGCCTTGTCATGTAGAATTCTGCCATAGTCCAGTTAAACTGCTGAAGACCCCATTTTCCAGTTCTACCTCTCTTCCCACTACCAAGAAAAAAAAAAATGACTAACTGATCCTTAAAAGATAGGAAATGAGCTAAGAAATGTGGCATCCAGGTGACTGCACAGAAAAGCTGCTGAGAAATCAGGAAAAGGTTAACCAGGTTTGGTATGTGTCAGGGAGAGTCAAAGCAGCTTAAGCAAAATCACCTGTCTGCCTCTCCTTACCTCACCATCCACAAGAAAAAACCTACATTTTTTTAAGCGGTGGCAGATATCATGGACAGAGCCCAAATAATGACACAAAATGAACCTTAAATTAGGAATGGGTAGCAGAAATCCACAAAGGTTTTTGAGCCCAAGGATGATGCAATCAAAGCTTAGCAACTGGGTCGCCTAGCAGAAGATTTATCCATTGCAACCCAGCTAGTAGCCAAAAATAAGCACCAAGGAATAGTGCAGATCCGGGGTCCAGCCCTGGCTCTGAGGCTTCTTGGCTCTGTGTCTTGGGCCAAGTCCCTTGGGTAAGTCTCTTTAAGCCTCATTTTCTTCGTCTATCAATTTAAGGAGTTGAATCACACAATCTGTCAGATTCGTTTCACATTTTATATTCAGAGTATGGGTTTCTAGCATCTTAGAATTACAATTTAAAATATTTGGGGGGAATCCATGTATGGCAGGTTAAGGGTAGCTGTCCATTCATTCAATCACTCATTGTTCAGTGAACACACACGTCCTTCACAGAAGAACTTGTGTCAGACTTTCAGCCACATCACCACTCCCCTCCAGATATGCCCTTCATTCACCAGCAGTAGGGTTGTGGTGTGGGGCTACAGGTAAGGGAGAAAACATCAGTTTCTTAGCTGGTTTATAGACTCTGAGGTGGATTGTGGAGCTCCATCAGTCAACTCACGTAGAGACTTGTAGGCAAATAGAACATGAGTACTAAAAGGGACCTCAAAGTTCAACTGCTCTCCCCCATCATTTGATAAACGCTCGGACACAGATCTCAAGACAACATAGTAATTGATAGAATCATCCTGGATTATTTAGCCCTTATGGGTGAAATGTCACTTTCACCATATAACCTCCATACCTGCTAATCCCATAAACTCACTGGATTATTTAGATTTTCTTCTTCCAATTATTATTGGGTCCTTGCACTGCTTACAGAAAACCACAATCCCTTCAAAACTTCTGACACAAAACTGCAACTCAAACAAAGGAGCACTAAGAAAATAGTTTGAGTAAAGGACGTTTTCACTAGGGATGCTCTGATATTTTGATATTTTGCTTCAACTAAAGTTAGGAGGGCTTCAGTCAGTTCACTAGTCATAAGTGGACTTATTTCTCTACTTCACACAATGACTCAGATCCAGCTGAACCCTCATTTATTTATTCACTTATTTACACAAATGTGGAAAAAAAATTTAGGAAGCTTACAATAAAAAGCATACATATTTTTATAAGATTTTTTTAAATTAATTTATTAGTTATATTTGGTTGCATTGGGTCTTCGTTGCTGTGTGAGGGCTTTCTCTAGTTGTGGCGAGCGTGGGCTACTCTTTGTTGCGGTGCGTAGGCTTCTCATCGTGGTGACTTCTCTTGTTGTGGAGCACGGGCTCTAGGCCGTGCAGGCTTCAGTAGTTGCAGCACGTGGGCTCAGTAGTTGTGGCTCGCAGGCTCTAGAGCACAGGCTCAGCGGTTGTGGTGCGCGGGCCCAGCCACTCCATGGCATGTGGGATCCTCCCAGACCAGGGCCCGAACCCGTGTCCCCTGCACTGGCAGGCAGGCTCCCAACCACTGCGCACCAGGGAAGCCCAAGCATATGTATTTTTAAATCCAACTATAAGACAGGAGCATACATTCAATTATCCCTGAACCTAAAGGAACTATTGCAAACCCCAAAATGGCCCCCCAAAACCCCACTTTTAATAATATATTCTTCTTTACTATATGAGTTCACCGAGGGTTTTCTATGTGGGTCTTTACCTAAGAACCATTAAGTAATTTAACAGACGATGTCCCAATAGCACCTTCATACTAAAGAATCTTCTAGGTGCCAGTCTTATAGTGGACCTGGGTAAATGGCAAGGCATATTGTCAAGTCGTATTTTAAAGGCAGAGTTCTGAGGCCCCGAACCACGTAGTCCTGGATGGTATAAGCCTTCCTGGAAACCTAACACAGGAGAGGGCAAGATCCAAAGCACCTTGAGGGGCAGCCGGTTAGCATGAACCTCAATTCAGTCTTCTCAAACAGCAGCTGTCTCAGCCCGACTAGGAAGTAGGCAGCAGACAAGCCTAGACAGAGGTTGCTGACCAGGCCTTAAATCCAGATGTGCTGTGTTGGGACCTGAAGAAAGATCTCCAGGTTCTGGACAAACAGGGAGTCCTCCAGACCTGCTTAAGCTCTTAAGACTGCTCAGGCTTCCTACCTGAAGGCCAAGGCTGCCAGACATAGCTTTGTGTCTAACAGAGCAGTTACCACCCCCCCCCCCCCCCCCCCCCCCCCCCCCACACCCCCACACACACCCCCGCACGTGCGCGCACACACAGGCTATTTCCTGATGGTCTTTACTGTAGCATCACAGCATGTTCAAGTTACTCAGGGCCATTTTACCCATTTATTTTACAGAGATGGAAACAGAAGCTCAGATGGAGGGGAGCCGCCATTTGCTTAAGGCCAAACTGGGATGTGACAGATGCCAGCTCCTGAGTCTGCCCCTCCATCTGACAGATGTGTCTCACTAAAACACACTGCAGATCGTGCCGTGCCCTCCACTGATCCCCCGTGGCCCTCAGGAGAGAGTGCAAGTGTCCCCACCCAGCCTTAAAGCCCTCCGTACAATAGTCCTGTTTGCTTTTTATCGCCATCTCCCTGTTCCCCTTCTTGATTGCTCCCATGACTCTCTCTCCCACTCAAACAGCCCAGACTCATTACCAGCCCCATCTCCAGACTGATTCTCCCGCCCACTTCCAGTATCAGAGAGGTCGTTCTCAGTGAACTGAGGTGTTCCAGAAACTAAGGCAGCATCCTAAAATGGCTTCACATACCCTCCATGTGTGCCCCTCCAGGGAGTCCAACATACACTGACAGGACATTTTTACTTTTAATCATACTTTTTTGTATAATTACCAAGGCCTCTTAAAGCCTCAGCCCCCTCCTGTGTGGTAGGAGTGGCAAATACACCCATTTTATAGGGGAGATGAAGGAAGTGAGACCCAATGCCGAGAAAGGGCATATGATTCATGCTCCAGAAAGCAGTGAGTCAGAGGAGAAGGCGAAAGAAGACCCAGCCTTCCTGACGCTGGTGCCCCATTCTCAAAGCCAGGCATCTTGCCTGCTGTTATTTCCAAAGGCTTGGTGTCTTTAAAAATAAGTCAACAAACACTCAGCCCAACAGGCTGACTTTTGAGAAAACTTATGATGCAAAAGGCAAGAGACCATATCCTTCCTACCCTCTGAGCCATACCTAGAATGTTAACTACGTATTTTGTAATAAAGCAACTCTGAGCTTTCCAAGTTGTGACCTCCTAAGGCAACTACATAAATGAAAGTAATTCTGAAGAGCGGGACAGTTAAAGAAATTGGGCAAGACCACAAATCCAGCTGAGGCTGGAAATGAGGGCTTCATCCCACAGACCGAGTGACCTTCTCTAGCGTTTGATACATATTTCCAACACCTGGCAGCTGTCCGACTATTGAGGGGCTGAGAAGCATGGGAAGAATTGGAGTAAGCCACTTCTAGTTGGGTCAGAACATCTGTAATCTTGGAAAGGCTTGTCAAAAAGAAAGTGGCAGTAAGTCCTTCTGGAGTTCTTCCGGAGGGAAGAAGACAACCAAATACCTCCAGGCTGGAGAAAAAGGTAGGGCTGAGAGCCCCCAGGGAATTGGGTAAGAAACAGCTCTTATATATTCTTCACAACAGTTCACACATTTATTAAGTCTACTCATGTGCCAGGTACTTGGATAGAGACCCGAAGTAAGGTGACCACAGAATTGATCATCCAAACCAGAGCACTCCAGAGTGAAAGAGGGAGCCATTAATTATACTAGGGCAACGGGCATAAAGCAGGAAGGCAAACCAGGATATCTGGTCACCTTAACCTTCAGAGCTGAGATCAACAATAAAGGGTCCCTATTCATAGAGAAATATCTACTCCATAAGAAGGATATAATAAGCACAAAGATGGCTGGTTATACTGAGACAGTATTAAAAAGTCCCAAGAAGAGTTGAAAGAGAAAGATATCACATCTCTAGACTCTTTCTAAAGAGGAGTTGTCATTTGAGCTGAGTTTTGAGGGATGCAAAGGATCTGCACGTATGGTAATGAAATGTCAGTCTTCCAGGTGACTGTAAAAAACAAACTTTGGTCAATCTCCAGTGACAGGGGAGTGTGGGCCTCCATGGGACATGGTGAGGAGGTAGACTGTATCTGCTGTGGCTGCAGTGGAGGGCGGAGTGAACCCAGTCAGGGATGAGACAGGAAGAATGCTGATGCCCGGTTGGACTTGGTTTTAATTTTGTGAACACCACCAGGGATGAGCTGTCCTCCTTTCCTAAGTGGGGTTGCATAAATCAGCTTTCCCGGTCTTGGACTTGGGGTGAGACTACCCAGACGTTCAGACTCACAGGGCATAGGCTGCTGCCGTTGTCACCAGGCCAACTGTCTTCCCTCCACTACGTAAGGGTGTCTCATCATTTGAGGAACTGCTCGACCTCTTCTGGTTTCAGTACCAAGCACTTTCTCTCTCCATCCAGCCGCTGGAGAAGTGGGTTTGGACGTTAGGGGGAAGTGTCTATTTGGCAATCCAACAGGGCTAGAAAGCTTGAGGGGGGTGGGTGGATTTTAAGGGCTTTCCCCTTGTGAGTATTCAAACCTTTGAAGCTTCTTGGTGAGACTACTTCTATTCCTATTTTTCAGGAGTACACACGAGTCCAGAAGAAGTTTGGACCTTGGGGCTTTCAGAGGAGTCAAGAGAGACAGAACGTCTGTGCATCTGTGACACTTACGCAGAGCTTTGCAGTTTGTAAGTGACATTCACATTTGAGCCTCACAATTTTGCGAGATAGGTCAGGAAGGTGTTATTGTGGCCGACAGTTGACATATAAGGGAATGAAGGAGCAGAGAAATGGGTGACTCATCCAAGGTCACGCAGCAAGTGACAGAGCTCAAGTCTCCTGGAGCCAGGCCCTGTATGCAGGCGGCCACCCCACAGCCTGTTCTCAGAAAGGAGACGAGAGGAGGGGAAAGAGGAAGAGGAGGCCGAGTGGGAGGAGGGAAGGAGGAAGAGGGAGCGTCGCAGAAGAGGGATGGCAAACCCTTCCCTCTAGTCGTGGGGTCCGGGACGGACCTAAAACCTTCTCCCTTAACCCTTTCCCATTTCAGTCCCATTTTTCCTCCTGGACCCAATAAAATGGGCCCGAGGCCGTGCGGTAGGGAAGGGCTGCCGGGTAACGTCTTCCCAGAGGCGCGAGCTTGGCCCCGCGGGGTGGCCCGGCCTTTCAAAGGCCACTTGTACACTGGGACGCGGCGCAGGGGCGGCCGGAGAGCCCGGGCCAGGAGGAGGGGCCAGGCCTGCCTTTGGTGCCTAGAAATCAAAGCAGCCAACCTTGGGCTTTTTCTTCCCCTCACACTGAGGCACTTTTATTGGCGAGATGAAGGGAGGCAAAGCGGGCCTACAGTCCTCGCTTTGCTTTTGGAGGTTAATGACCCAGTTAGCAGCTCTTGGCTGCGTTTCCGACATTTTGCAGACATCAAGCCCCGCGTCTCTGCCAAGTACATTCTGTTCCCTGGAGCTCATCCAATGCATCTCAGATTACTATGTAATGCGACAAAGAGGGAGAGGTGGCTGGGAGGGGCGGCAGGGAGGGCGGGGGAGCGGGGGGGAGCGGGGAGGGCGGGACGCCGGAGCGGCGGGGCGGGGTAAGGGGCACGCCAGCCTAAATATAGCTCTCCTGCACACGCAGCCGCAAGGTGAGGATGCGGAGGACGCCGGGGCCCCGGCAATAAGTGAAGGAATCCTGCGGCCGAGAGCCAAGCCCCCGACCCGGGGCGGCGGTGGGGTGGGGGCCGCCAGGGACTCCGGGCGCGGAGGGCGGGGAGAGGAATGATAAGGGGAGGGCCTAAGGGAATAGGCCCCGCCCCGAAGCCCTTCCCCCTGCAGCGCCAGCTGTGGCCGCAGCCCGCACGCTAATTATAGACGTGAATGGAAAGCGGCAGCTTTTGAATGATCGTGTTGCTCGAGCTGCCTTTGGAGGCTGAGGAGCAGGTGCTGCCCCGCTAGATACAAAGTGATTCATTGAAAAGCCCTCTGTCACGCACGCACGCTCACCGACGTGCACAAATCCTCTGGCTCTCTCCCACCACCTCCAGGCAGTGCTTCCAGAATTGGTTTTAAGAGGCCTGGGCCCCGGGGTGTGGGACAGAGACGGGGGTGGGGTGGGGTGGGGGAGCTTTTCCTGTCTCTTTCACCCATCCTTCGAAAACTCCCCGTGAATAACAAGAACCTTAGGCCTTTTCAAGCTGTGGGAAAGTAACATCTTGTTTTACGGATGGTGAAACTGAGGCTGGGAGAGAAGCTGGGATGTCCCCAGGCCACAGGATGAGTCAGTCAGTGCAGAGCCAAGAGAGCCCGGTCGCCTGACGGCCTCTCCCTTTCCCTTACCAGGTTGGAACCTGAGCAGAGTTCACTTCAGTGACATTCATTTCCCGGCATGGATCCTTCCTACGTACATCCATCCTTCCCCCTCCCTTCCCGGTTCAGCTCCTCCCCCATCCTCCCCCGCACCTCCACCCGCTCCTACACAGAAAACTTGCTAGTGCCAGCTGATTCTCACTGGTAGGTTTAATACTTCCAGGCCTGGAAACTGGGTAACATGGAAACCATGCCCATCTTCCTGTCAGGTTTGTGGGAGTCAACCTGATGTGCCCTCTGTCAGCATAACCGCGGCATAACCACGTCGCGAGGAATTCCACAGGTGGCAAAACCTAGACGTGTCTTCCTCGGGGTCTCATGTGCCCCTAGCACCCACAGTGGGCCGAGTGCTCTCACGAACATCATGACCTAACCCAGGCCACACAAGCACAGTAGAAAGTCGTATGTCCATTTCACAGAGCCCCTGTAGAAGTGGAGTGTCGGAGGGGGAAGTGACCCGCTCGCAGCAATCTGCTGATGAGCGGCCAAGTTGGGAGCCAAACCCCGGACTCCCACCCATGTCCTGGGGTGTGTCCAGTACTCGTGCTGTGGTCTGCAAGGGGGAGCAAGGATCCACCTAGTCATAGAAAGGGGTCGCTCAAAGTGACCTGGGCATCTCCAGCGTGACCGCTGGCCTCCCCTCCCCATGATCTTGGGTCACTGCCCCAAATTCTTGCCTCCATCCTAGGCCACGGCATGAAACTGGGCACAAACAGCTGCTGCCTTCCCTAGGGCCAGAAGTCTCCAAGCCTACTCACTGCTCCTGACTCCAAGAAAAAGGCCAGCCTCACTCACTCTGGGACTTATCTTATCCCCTTACCTTTGCTGACCACTCTGGACATAACTCTTTGCCTGTGTCTCCCCGGTGCCCTGAAGATCTCCACCAGATGGATGAATAAAGGAGCAACAACAAGTACCACGCTGAAAAAAAAAAGAGAGAGGGAATAGGTGTGCAGGATATTCTAATTGTTTTGTACTTGCCTCTTGGAAGCAAGGCACTGTATCCTAGTCTTTGTAAGTCCCCACCCTGCCCAACATACACAGGGTCCAGCCCAAAGAACTGAGCAGAGCAGACCCACAGATGTTAAAGAATCATAAAAACTTTCACATGGCTGAGGAAATGTGTATATACCTAGGCTGGCCATTGTCATGTGTCTCTGACAACACAGATGAGTGGTTCAAGCCATGTACAAGACCAGGCTCTGCCCTGATCAGTTGTACGATATTGAGAATATCGTACAATTCTAATCTCTAGTTCTCAGTTTTCTCATCCGTGAAATGGGCATGATTATACTTCTCTAGTTCTCAGTTTAATCTCTCTAGCTCTCAGTTTTCTCATCTGTAAAATGGGCATGATTATACTTCACAGAGGTCTAACGGAGCAGTACTGGCAGTGCTGATCCTATGTGAATGATTGTCTCTACAATCACTACCTAGTTTGGAACACACATTCAGCTATGGGTAAGTTTTTTAACCTCCACATGCCTTAATGTCCTCATGTATAAGATGAGGATGATAAGAATACCTCTCTTATAGTGTTGCATGAATTAAATGAGCTGATAGATGTAGAGGGCTGGAAATAGTGCTTGGCACAGAGTAAGTGCTCAGTACACATGGCTGTCCTTTTTATTGGAATTAGATCTAATATATGGATCTAATATATGGAAAGTCCCTAGCATATTGCCTAGCAGAGTGTCAGCACCTAGTAATAATAATAACTATTATTATTTCCTCACCTATAAAATGAGATTGTAATAGCTCCTCTCACACAGGATTGTTCTGAGGATTAACTTAGATAATATCAATATATATGAACTCTCTTTGTAAAACTATACAGGACTGTTCACATGCTTCACTATTAACTGTGTTATTGGGGTACTGATTCAACACATATTGTGTGTTACCTGCACCTCTTATTTGAGATTCAGAGATAAACAATATCCGTGTGTTCAAGGGGCAGATAAGCATGTAAGGCCTAGGATGGGTATAACTATATATAACTATCCCACACCAGGCAGAGGGTGACGAGCTCTCTGACTAGCACAACAAAGCGAATGCCATGAGGCATCAGGGAAGGAAGGCAAGCAGATACACTGAGGCAGAAAGAGGAGTTCAGGAATGGCTGCAGCAAGGATATAGGTGCATAAACAGAACCTGGATGAATGAGCAGGATTTGGACAAGTGAGGATAGAGGTGAGAGAAAGACATTCCTAGTAAAGGGGTCAGAAAGAGCAAAGGCCCAAAGCAGGAATAGAAAGGGGGTAATTGGAGAACTGCAAGCACGTCTGTGTTCAGAGAACAAAGCCTGACAGAGAAGGGCCAGGGAGGTAAGCTAGGAGGCCAGGCACCATAGTCCCAGGGAGCCCAAGAGGGCCCTGTGATCCTCACTGATGACATGGAGCAACGATGTGCTGGGGACCGTCTAGGGATGAGGATTCATGGTCAAACTGAAGAATCCCATGTAGCAGAAGTGCAGACAGAATGGAGGAATGCTTTTGCAGGGTCAGAGCTGAAACGGCAGGAACTGGGATGGTTTCATAGCTCCTTCAGAGCACCTCTCAGATTTCATAATTGTATATTTACTTTTGTGTTTCGTTCTTTTTTTTTTTTTTTTTTTTTTTTTTTTTTTTTTTTTTTTTTTTTGCGGTACGCAGGCCTCTCCCGTTGCGGAGCACAGGCTCCGGACATGCAGGCTCAGCGGCCATGGCTCACGGGCCCAGCCGCTCCGCGGCACGTGGGATCTTCCCGGACTGGGACACGAACCCGTGTCCCCTGCATCGGCAGGCGGACTCTCAACCACTGCGCCACCAGGGAAGCCCTTGTGTTTCGTTCTTTATTTTGACATGTAAGCTCCCTGAGTGATGAGAGTAAGAGTCTTTCTTTTCTTATTTATCCCCAGTGTCTGCCATGGTGACTGACACATAGTAGGAGCTCAAGAAAGACTCACTGAGCAAATGTATGCTCCCTTGATTCCAAGGCCAAAAGCACCACCCACGTGGTCCAAAAGCAGTCAAAGGATTCTCCGAGGTTTTTCCTACCTTTTGCTTCAGCAAACAGGTGTCCCCAGGGTTAAAAATTCGCTGCACAGGAGAGCTGGACTTATTTCACAATCCTTCAGATAGGTCTATTTTTAGAAAATAAGATCAGAAAGAACTGGGAAAAAAGGGAAAAGAAGAAACCTGGAGCAGATATAAAACTCCTCCTGTAACTCTCCATCTCTTCCTAGTTACCTTTAATTAGCATCTTCTGGTTTTAGTCCTTGCTTTCTAAAAAAGGAAAAAAAGAAGAGGAAGGGAAGAAAGAAAGAGAGAAGAAAAGAAATTACCCAAGAAAGCTATGAGTGTGATCAACTGTTTGTTGTCTTCTCTACCCCTCTATGACCTGGATCCCTTCCCAGCTCAAGCTGGGAAGCAGAAAAGAAATCCAACTGGTTTCAGTTGTTAAGGATTTGGGACAGGCATCTGGCTGATAGAAACTTTGCCTACTCTCTTATTTCAGCCTTCTCTAAAATATCAACGTCATTGCCTTTCTTCCTCTCTCTTGGGATGGTAATTTGGTGCTACGGTTCCTGATCAGAGGCACAGAAGGCCAGAGGTGGAACAAACAGAACCTAGAGGTTATTTGGTTCAACTCCTTTATGTTATAAATGAGAAAACCAAAAAAAAAGAGAGAGGCAATGAATTCTCCAAGATCATCCAGCTCCCCTGTGATGGAGAACAGGACCCAAGACTTCAAATTGCAAGTTGAGTGCTCTTTCCATACTCCATGAAACCCCCTTTAATGAAGTAACATTCATATGGTATCACATTCATATTTCCCTGAAAAAAAAATAAAGATAGCTTTGAAAGAAGCAGATCTGGGTTTGAATCCCAGTTCTACTATACACTAGCTGTGTAACCTTAGGCAAGAAGCCGGATCTTCTACAATAATAATAGCCATCATTGCTGGGCACCGATCTTGTGTCAAACTCAGGAAAGTTAAGAAACTGGTCCAAGGCGGTACAAGTTTGAACCCAGCTTAGTCTTATTCTAAATCCCATGAGTTTTCCATTGTACTACACTGCTTCTCTATGCTTCAGATTTCTCATCTGTAAAATATGGGATATTTTTAAGAATAAATGAGATTAAAAGTGCCTAGAACTGGGCTTCCCTGGTGGCGCAGTGGTTGAGAGTCTGCCTGCCGATGCAGGGGACACGGGTTCGTGCCCCGGTCCGGGAAGACCCCACGTGCTGCAGAGCGGCTGGGCCTGTGAGCCATGGCCGCTGAGCCTGCGCGTCCGGAGCCTGTGCTCCGCAACGGGAGAGGCCACAACAGTGAGAGGCCCGCGTACCGCAAAAAAAAAAAAAGTGCCTAGAACTGTACTTGATGTATACAGTAGTTGCTCTATACACAGCAGCTATCATTATTTTGAACAACACATCTTGAATACATGTTACACCTGAGGCCTTCGCATTTTGATTACAGTATATTACTCAGGAGCGTTAGCTGCTATCAGTCATCATCGCCATACTCACCAGCCCCCACTCCCGGTCTCAGCTTTCCCCTGACGTGTTCTCTCAAGGGGTGGGGTTCCAAACATGGAAGATCTAAGCAGAACAGGTAAGGCAGTGTGGGACCTGAACCCACCTACTGGTGCTGGAATGCTGAGCAGACAACTCAGGTCTGGCAACAGAGCTACAGCCATTCACAGACCAGGCAACCGAGTATCCAAGTACAGATCCTCTGGGGGGCAGAGTACAGGGATTTGAGGTGGGCAAAGCCAAAGGCAGACAGACCACGGCTTCAAAGACCAAATCATGGGAGCAAGGTCCAAGTTACCATTTCTGGCAAAAGCCAGACAAGATGGTAGCTAGGAGGAAATAAACCTGGGTAGGAAGATCACCAGAAAAAGAACATAAAAACCAGGATTAAAGCAAAAACCAGTTGGAAGCAACAGAGATTAAAATGCACCTAGGGGGACTTCCCTGTTGGCGCAGTGGTTAAGAATCTGCCTGCCAATGCGGGGAACTCGGGTTCGAGCCCTGGTCCGGGAAGATCCCACATGCCGCGGAGCAACTAAGCCCGTGCGCCACAACTCCTGAGCCTGCACTCTAGAGCCCGTGAGCCACAGTACTGAAGCCCGCCCGCCTAGAGTCCGTGCTCCGCAACAAGAGAAGCCACCGCAATAAGCCCACTCACCTCAATGAAAGAAAGCCCACACGTAGCGACAAAGACCCAACTCAGCCAAAAATAAATTAATTAATTTTTAAAAATTAACAAATAAAATGGACCTAGGGCTTCTGAACGTGACAGATGAGTCTTTTATTCCCCCTCTGATTATAAAATCTAATAAATAACCATGGAATTGTCTTGGTTATATAAATAACCATGATATTATTTGTGGATACATCGTTTGGAGTGAAAGTACGAAAACATTCGTGGGAATGATACCTACCAAATTCAAATAGTGTTTTCCTTGGTAGAGAGTAGGAGGGAAAGAAGGGGGGAGGAAGAGGAAATGGCAGGTGGGGGCTTTAACTATATGTGTTACATTTAATTTCTTTTACGAAAAAAGAGATCTGAAGTAAATATGGCAAAATGTTAGCATCTGTTAATTCTAATGGTGAGTACATGACATCTGTTATATCTTTTCGGTACGGTTACATAGTTAACAACTTAAAATAAAAATATAAAGCATAAATGTATTTAAAATCTAATAAATTGTATTAATATATAATCACTGTAGAAAATCTGGGGATTTCATGAATAATAACATAGGAAGATAATGAGTTTTAAAAGTTATGATGTTGGTTAGCTGATGTGATATTTCTCAGGTAAGACAATAGGTCTTAATCCAATGAGATTCATAGAAGAAGTTCGTGGTAGGTTTGCATGCTGACAGTCCATATATGTGTGTTAGGAGGAAGACTTCAGGATTCTTCAAATCATACTATCTGGCCAACTATTCCAGAAGTGCCCAACTGATGATCCCTAACCTGGCTGGCCAGAAAGTCCCATTTTAAGATAAGAACCAAGATGTTATACTCTCATATGGAAAGAAAATCTAAAGAGACTGCTGGACCATCAAAGCTAATGTTACAAACGTCACAAACTAGAATTCATGGATGGAAACCCAGCAGGGATATGAAGAACAGAACACCCCCATCAACCACTGCATCTGATTGACATTTACAGAACACCCTGCCCAACAAGAGCAGAATACACATCCTTTTCAAGTGCACATGAAACATTCCCCAAGATGGACTATATCCTGGGTCGTAAGCCTTCTGGATGTCTCCCATGAAACAGGGACCTTCAGACCCTCACTCAGAAATGAGTCTCATTTTACATAAAATTGATGGACCATCTGGAGTCTCTGATCACAGCATGACAGAAGAGAAAAACAGAATTGCTTCCCGATGGGCGACGCTCATCAGTAATAGCTGGTTGCCAAGCCATTTGGGAGGAGACAAAAGAGCTATAAAATACAGACGCAAGGGCCCAGAGCTTAGCAGTCGAGGGCCATCTAGTTCAGGGCCAAAGCATAACAGGCCCAGAGATGCCCGAGGCACTCCTGTACTAATACACTCAGTGGTTTAGTAGAAAGAGCATATGTGAGTCAGCTGAAGAGGGTTTGGGCTTGGCTCTACCACTAACCCACAAGAGGCTGTGGGCCGGTCCCTTTCACTTCTCCTTTCTGGGAACTGGCTTCCTCTTGGGCAAAATGGAGTCACTAGAATCTAGTGGCTAGGTCTCCAAGTTGATTTCCACTTCTACCTCTCTGTGACTATTTTTGTGTTCATTCTAATACCCCTGGGTCTTCAAAGAAAGGATAAATAATTCTTGGTGACTTTTGTGTTCGAAAGCAGGGCACAGTGTGAGACCTCAGAGGGCGTGTTTGCTTTCATGCCCTGGCTTGTTCCCCTCCACAGTCATAGGCATGCTCACAAGTATCCCGAAGGGTTCCACAAGGACATATTTACAAACAGCTTCCAGAAAGCATTAAAATGGCAAAAACAAGCCTTGCAAGAGAAATTCTGTATACCAGACAATTTAATTCAGAACAATGAACCACATGAGGGTGTATAAATAACTAATTACGCTGGACAACATGAACAGCTTTTGGGGATGATTGCAAAATTGGGGAGGAAGGAAATGTGATGGGTATTTATATATTTGGGCTTCAGTCAAAGATTTCATATTCACTCTTAAGCAATTTGACTTGCAAAATTAGCTCAAACTAGAACACGGTCAAACGACTTGAAACTGGCAGCAGGTCTGCTATCGAAGGGGGATGTTTGTGCCCAAGCGTCCAGGAGACTGGAATGGAGGGCTGGGTGCATGCCCGTGCCGTCTCTGCAGGATGTTCCGTGAGAGGTGCCTTGGTCTCCACAATGACCCTGAGGAGGAAAGACTGTTCAGGGGCGTTTGTAATAAGTAGTTTCAATGGGAAGTCAAACTCATCTTGTTATCACACAAGCACATATTCCTGGACGCTCAGTTCCATGTTTTTCCTGAGTCTGTACCGTGTGATCAGTACTCTGCCAAGTCCTGGAGATACAGCGACTGGATCTCTGTAAGAAGCACTGAGATACCTCACTCACCACTGTAGG